AGTTTCCCTTGCTGTGAATGCTTACTATTACATAATATAATTTTCACAACATGAAGCAATATTTATTCTAGTATTGAACCAACATTTTTCCAATACTGAGTATATTTTAGTATTAAACTGACATTATCATTAACGGAAGTCCATTCTTTATTCAGATTTCCTTAGCTTTAGCCTAATGTCCTTTTATTGTTCCCAGATGCCGTCCCGGATTCCACATTACACTTAGTCACAGTATCTCCTTAGGTTGCTCTTGGCTGTGACAGTTTCTCAGACTTTCCTTGTTTTTGATTATCTTGACTGCTTTGAGGATTACTGGTCAAATACTCAGTTGGGATTTGTCTGATGTTTTTCTCATCGTTAAACTGGGGTTATGGGTTTGGGGGAGGAAAACCACAGAGGTAAAGGTAAAGTAGGTACAAGGGTACCTACTATGATTTAGGCATGATCTACCACTGTTCATGTTGACTGTGACCACCTGGCTAAGGGAGTCTGTGTCATATTCCCCCACTCTAAAGTTGCCTTTTGTCTCCTCTTAACTCTGTATGTGATTAAAAAAAATATATTTTTAATTGACAAATAATTATATATATTTAAGGGGTACAATGTCATATGAAATTTGATATATACATATAATGTGGAATGATTAAATTAATCTAATTAATATATCATGACTTCACTTATCCTTATTTGAAATGTACTCTCTTAGCAATTTTGAAATATATAATACATTAACTATAGTTGCTATGCTGTGCAATAGATTGCAAAAACTTATTCCTCTTGTCTCATTGAAACTTTGAGACAAATCCTTTGACCAGCATCTCTCCATTCCCTCCCTCCCCCGTTGAGGATCTGGTTACTACAATGCTCCTCTCTACTTCTTTTTTTTTTTTTTTTCCTGAGACGGAGTTTCGCTCTTGTTTCCCAGGCTGGAGTGCAATGGCGCGATCTCGGCTCACCGCAACCTCCGCCTCCTGGGTTCAGGCAATTCTCCTGCCTCAGCCTCCTGAGTAGCTGGGATTACAGGCACGTGCCACCATGCCCAGCTAATTTTTTGTATTTTAGTAGAGACGGGGTTTCACCATGTTGACCAGGATGGTCTCGATTTCTTGACCTCGTGATCCACCCGCCTCGGCCTCCCAAAGTGCGGGGATTATAGGCTTGAGCCACCGCGCCCGGCCGCTCCTCTCTACTTCTATGAGTTCAACCTTTTAGCTTCCACATGTAAGTGAAACTATCAGGTGTTTTTCTTTTCATGCCTGTGCCTGGCGTATTTCACTAAGTAGAATGTCTTCCAGGTTTATTCATGTTGTTGAAAAAATAGAATTTCTTTCTTTCTTTCTGTTTTTTTTTAAAGGCAGGGTAGTATTTCACTGGCTTGTCTAAAAAAATCCATGTATCCATTGGTGAATGCCTAAGTTGATCCATATCTTGGCCTCAATTAATATGGAAGTGCAGCTCTCTCTTCAACATACTGATTTTATTTCCTTTGGATGTGTATTGAAAAGTGGATTTTCTGGGTCACATGGCAGTTCTGTTTTGAATTTTTTGAGGAATCTTCATACATTTTCCATAATGGCTGTTACTATTTTACATTCCTACTGACAGTGCACAAGAATTACCTTTTCTTCACACTTTCATCAACTCTTATCTTTCATCTTTTTTTAATAATAGCCATTCTAACAGGTATAAGGTAATATCATATTGTGACTTCCATTTGCATTTTCCTAATGATTAGTGATGTTGAGCATTTTTTCATGAACCCGTTGGCTATTTGTACTTCTTTTGACCAATGTCTATTCAGGTTCTTTGTCCATTTTTAAAGCAGGTTATTTGGTTTTTTGCTGTTGATTTTAGTTTTTCATATGTTCTGTTAGGCTGTTCTTACATCACGCTTAGAGTGAGAACTCTCTCATCACCAAAGGAATAGAACTAAGCCATTCATTAGGATCCATCCTCATGATCCAAACACCTCCCACCATGTCCCACCTCCACCACTAGGGATTACATTTCAACATGAGATTTGGAGCAGAAAAACATACAAACCATATCATATGTTTTGGATAGTAACCCCTTATCAGATGTATGGTTTGCAAATATTTTCTCCCATGGACTGTATCATCTCTTCACTCTGCTAATTATTTCCTTTGCTGTGCAGGAGCTTTTTAGAGTGATACAATCCCATTTGCCTCTTTTTGCTTTTGTTGCATATACTTTTGGGATTATATCCAAAATATTGTCTAGACCAATGTCATGGAGCTTTTCCCTTATGTTTTCTTTTAATGGTTTTACTACTAAAAGAAAGTTTCAGTAGTTTAATGGAATTACTAAGTTTCAGGTCTTAATTCATCTTTAATCCAGTTTGAGTTAATTTTTGTATATGACGCAAATTAGAATTTAATTTTATTCATCTGCATGTGAATATCCAGTTTCCCCTATGTGATTTATTGAAGAAACTGTCCTTTCTTCATTGTTTCTTTTTGGTACCTTTATTACAACTCAATTGTTCATAAATATTTGGGGCTATTTCTGAACTCTATCCTGTTTGACTGGTGGTTATGTCTGTTTTCATGGCAGTACGGTGCTGTTTTGATTGATGTAACTTGTGAGATATTTTGCAGTTAGCTACTGTGATGCCTCCAGCTTTTTTCCTTTTGGTCAAGATAGATTTGGCTATTCAGGGTCTTTCGTGTTTCCATACAAATTTTAGGATTTTGTTTTTCCTGTTTCTGTAAAGAGTGACATTGGAATTTTGATATGGATTACACTGAATCTGTAGATTGCTTTGAATATTGTGGACATCCTAGCAGTATTAATTCTTTTAATTCATAATCATGCCTTTCCATTTACTTCTGTTTCCTTCAATTTTTTTTCATCAATGCTTTATAGTTACCAATATATAGATCTTTACTTCCTTGGTTAAATTTATATCAAGGTATTTTATTTATTTTTTGTTGCTATTGCTAATGGGATTGTTTTATTAATTTCTTGTTTAGATAGTTTGTTGTTAGTGTTGAAATGCTACTGATTTTTGTATGTTGATTTTGTATTCTGCAAATTTAATGAATTTGTCAGTTATAATGGTTTTATTTGGTGAAGTCTTTAAGTTTTTCTATATATAATGTCATGCCATCTGCAAACAGGAACAATTTAAGCACTTCCTTCCAATTAGGACTTTTTTATTTCTTTTTCTTGCCAAATTGCACAGGCGTGGACTTCCAGTAAAATGTTGAAAAGAAGTAGTGAGATTGAACATTCCTGTCTTGTTCTAGATCTTTGAGAAAATGCTTTAAACTTTTCACTGTTGAGAATATTAGCCATGGACTTGTCACTTAAGGCTTTATTGTGTTGTGGTACATCTTCTTTACCAAATTTGTTGAAAGTTTTTATTATGAAATGAGTTAGAATTTCATCAAATTCTTTTTCTATACCTATTGAGATGATCCTATAACTTTTGTCCTTCATTTTGTTAATGAAATCAGAAATAAAAGAGGAGACATTACAACTGATACTACAGAAATACAAAGGGTCCTTTGAGAGGCCGAGGTGGGTGGATCACCTGAGGTCAGGAGTTTGAGACCAGCATGGCCAACATGGTGGAACCCTTTCTTTACTGAAAACTACAAAAATTAGCCACATGTTGTGGCAGGTGCCTCTAATCCCAGGTACTCAGGAGGCTGAGGCAGGAGAATCACTTGAATCTAGGAGGTGGAGGTTGCAGTGAGCTGAGATTGCGTATTGCACTCCAGCTTGGGTGACAGAGCAAGACTCTGTCTCAAAAAAAAAAAAGGGTCACAGGAAACTAATGTGAGCAATTATACTCCAATAAGTTGGATAACTTAGAAGAAATAGATAAATTCCTAGACACCTACAACCTGCCAAGACTGAATCATGAAGAAACAGAAAATCTGAATAGACCAATAGTGGACAAATTGATTCAATCAGTAATAAAAAGTCTCCTATTAAAGAAAAGCCCAGGACTGAATGGCTTCATAGCTGAATTCTACCAAACATTTAAAAAAGAGCTAATTTGAATCCTTTTCAAACTCTTCCAAATAAATGGAAGAGAAAGGAGTATCTTCAAATTCGTTTTATGAGGCCAGCATTATCCTAATGCTAGCAGACACTACAAGAAAAGAAGTTACAGGTCAATATCCTTGATGAACATAGATGCAAAAATACTCAACAAAATACTGGCAAAACAAATACAACAGCACATTAAAAATATCATTCACTATGTTCAAATGGGATTTCTCCCTGGGATTCAAAGCTATTGCAACATATGCAAATCCATAAATGTGATACTCTATATGTGGTCTGATTTCATCCCCCCCTTCTCAATTATTTTCTCTGTCCTATACCATAAATGTTTTTTTAAATGTCGTACCATCAACCTTAAAACATGCTTCAGAAAAATTCTCAATCTTTTTGCTTTTAAAGCTTACCAATTGGTTCAAATCTGAGAAACTTTAAAAACAGCAGAATTTGAATAATTCCGACCGAATTGATTGGGGTGGGGCATATGCATCAGTATCTTTTCAATAGTCCTCACATTTGCTTTCTCCCTGTGTACCTCCTTACCTGATGAAATCCTTTTTACCCTCTAGGATTCACCTGAATGTCATTTCCTCAAGGACATCTTCCTGAAAACCTTGATCTAAATCAGCTACCCTCATAGCTGTCTGTTTCCTTTCTTAGAGCATTGGTCATGTCTTTAATTCAAAGTTTCTAACCCTCAGCACCACTGACATTTTGGGCTGGATGTAACTTTGTTGTGGGGGACTGTCTTGTATCTTGTGGGAAGTTTTGCAGCAGTCCTGGACTCTGCCCATGGGATGCCAGAAGCACCTCATCATCAGATGTGGCAACTAAAATTGTCTTCAAACATTGCCAAATGGCTCCAGGAGGGAATTCCTACCCCTCACCCCGTTAGAACCACTGCTCTAACTCATGCTTATTTTATATGTTGTCTGTCTTTCCCCCGTACTATAAGCTCCAGAAGAGTGCTTGCTTTGGCAACACATGTACTAAAATTGGAATGATACAGAGATTAGCATGGCCCCTGTCCAAGGATGACACACATTTGTGCAGTATTCCATTAAGAAAAACCCCAAAACCATCAGAAGAGCTTTCTTCTCTGCTAGCTTCTCAAGGACACACCTCAATGCCTAGGGACATCCCAGATGCTGGGCAAGAATTTCTTGAATAAATGAATAAATGAGATGGCTAAGCCAGGATTTCAGAGCTCTAATTAGGGTGAAGACCACGGGTGTCAATAGCGGAGAAGAAAAGGAAGGACTAGATCTGAGCCACATTTAGAGAGCCGAAATTAAATTTTATGGGAACACAGTCACATCCATTCATTTGCATATAATCTACAGCTGCTTTTGTGCTACAGAAGGCAGAGCTGAGTAGGTGAAACAGAGACCACGTGGCTCACAAAGCTTTAAATATTTACTGTTTGGCCATTCACAAAAAGAGTTGATTGACCCCCTTTTTAGAGATTGTATTTGGAATATAAATCCTAAGTAAACTATTATGAAAATAGCTAAATTATTATTTGAAAAACAGATTTTCATTTATAAAATTTTCTCCCATTGCCCTATTTCTCACACACAAGAAATTTCCATGCACAAAAATGCACAAACATGTATGGCAGAGACGTTCTTTCCTGAGAAATATTTTATCCCGTTACTGGATTTTTTTGAGTGAATTTGAATGTACTCCACTCCTCTTTTCCTAGATGGTCAGAACTTCTTTTAAAAAAATTTCAGTTTTCTAGTTTTCTAGAGATTTTCTTGGGAACAAGGAAAAATTAAGAAAAAGGGTCTCAGTCCTCTGTGTAAAGAACTTTTTTTAAAATAGCTTTTGCCAAGCTAAAGACACAAATTTGTTTATTTTGTGGCTGCTGACAGAATATATAAATTCTGTCTTACAGATTGAGTGAAGCTTTTATAGTTCATTCACTGACTCATTCAACAAACATTAAGAAATGCCTTCAGATAGACCAATAACAAGTACTGAAATTGAGACAGTAATTAATAACCTACAAACCAAAATAAGCCCGGGACCAAATGGATTCACAGCCAATTTCTACCAGAGGCGAAAAGAGGAGCTGGTAACATTCCTTCTGAAACTATTCCAAACAACAGAAAAAGAGCGATTCTTCCTTAACTCATTTTATGTGGCCAGTATCACCCTGACACCAAAACCTGGCAGAATGCAACAAAAAAGGAAATTTCAGGCCAATATCCCTGATGAACATTGATGCAAAAGTCCTCAACAAAATATATTGGCAAACCAAATCCAGCAGCACATCAAAAAGCTTATCCACCACGATCAAGTTGTCTTTATCCCTGGGAGGCAAGTCTGGTTCAACATATGCAAATCAATAGGTGTAATCCATCACATAAACAGAACCAATGACAAAAACCACATGATTATCTCAATAGATGCAGAAAAGGCCTTCAATAAAATTCAACACCCCTTCATGCTAAAAATTCTCAGTAAACTAGGTATTGATGGAACATACCTCAAAATAATAAAAGCGATTTATGACAAACCCACAGCCAATATCATACTGAATGGGCAAAAGCTGGAAGCATTCCCTTTGAAAACTGGCACAAGACAAGGATGCCTTCTCTCGCCACTCCTATTTAACATACTATTGGAAGTTCTGGCCAGGCCAATCAGGCAAAGAAAGAAAGAGAAGGGATTCAAATAGGACGAGAGGAAGTCAAATTGTCTCTGTTTGCAGGTGACATAATTGTATATTTAGAAAACCCCGTTGTCTTAGCTCTAAATCTCCTTAAGCTGACAAGTAACTTCAGCAAAGTCTCAGGATATAAAATCAATGTGCAAAAATCACAAGCATTCCTATACACCAATAACAGACTTAAAGAGAGCCAAATCAAGAATGAACTACCATTCAAAATTGCTACAAAGAGAATAAAATACCTAGGAATACAACTCACAAGGGATATGAAGGACCTCTTCAAGGAGAACTATAAGCTGCAGCTCAGGAAATAAGACAGGACACAAACACATGGTAAAACATTTCATGCGCATGGTTAGGAAGAATCAGTATTGTGAAAATGGTCATATTGCCCAAAGTAATTTATGGATTTATAGGCACCCTACAGAATGGGAGAGAATTTCTGCAATCTATCCATAGGACAAAGACTAATATCCAGAATCTACGAAGAACTTAAACAAGTCTACCAGAGAAAAACAACCCCATCAAAAAGTAGGTGAAGGATATAAACAGACACTTCTGAAAACAAGACATTTATGCAGCCACAAACATATGAAGAAAAGCTCATTATCACTTTTCATTAGAGAAATGAAAATCAAAACCACAATGAGATACCATTTCATGCCAGTTAGAATGGTGATCATTAAAAAGTCAGAAAACAACAGATGCTGGAGAAGATGTGGAGAAACAGGGATGCTTTTACACTGTGGGTTGGAGTGTAAATTAGTTTCACCATTGTGGAGACAGTGTGGCAATTCCTCAAGGATCTAGGACCAGATATACCATTTGACTCAGCAATCCCATTACTGGGCATATACCCAAAAGATTATAAACCATTCTACTATAAAGACACATGAACACGTATGCTTATTACTGCACTGTTCACAAGAGCAATGACTTGGAGCCAACCCAAGTGCCCATCAGTGATAGACTGGATAAAGAAAATGTGGCACATATACATCATGGAATACTATGCAGCTATAAAAAAAGGATGAATCCATGTCCTTTTCAGGGACATGGATGAAGCTGGAAACCATCATTCTCAGAGAACTAACGCTGGAACGTAAAACCAAACACCGCATGTTCTCACTTATAAGTGGGAGTTGAACAATGAGAACACATGGACACAGGGAAGGGAACACCACACACCTGTGCCAGTCAGGGGATTGGGGGTTAGGGGAGGGATACATTTACATTAGGAGAAATACCCAATGTAGGTGATGGGTTGATAGGTGCAGCAAACCACCATGGCATGTGGATACCTGTGTAACAATCGTGTGCATTCTGCACATGTATCACAGAACTTAAAGTATAATTGAAAAAAAAAAAAGAAAAAAGAAATGCCTTTTGCGCACTGGACCCTGCAGAAGCAGAGATGCATAAAATGGATTCTTTGTTGGTAGCCTGCCAGCAGCAACAGACAGGAAACAATTATACCTGGGAGATAGCCTTTTTTGTGCTAAAATAACATGAACATGGGAATGCAGGGAAACTCCAACCAAGGCTGCTTTACAAAATGGAAGGAAGCGTAGGTTTTGTATCTGAAATTATACTTTTATTTGTTATGTAACAAGGCATTAATAGATACTAAGGCACCTGTATCTTGGTTAGAAGAAGTTTTACCCTAAATCTAAAACTCAAATGTAGCATCAACTGTAAGAGTCATGTTTAATTATTTTCCACCAGTCCTCTCCAAATTATCATGAAATATAAGAATTAAGTTTGACTTGATCATTTCCTGAAAATCCTCTTTTAACACAGGTGATGTCCCTTGGGATTGAGCTCTGTGTGCAACATGGAACATCTGGCTTCTCAGGAGAAGACTGTGGGATTCAGGTCAGTTCTGGGGAATCAAGGGTGCCTGCATCTAAGTTCACATATACCACAGTCTCTTCAGGAGGGTTACCTGGGGTTTGTTTCCTTTACTGAGTATCTCTTAGGTTCCAGCCCACTGAGCTGGCATGTTTTCCCAGACAGTGTTATTTTCATGGGTGGAGTGAAATCAGGTCTGAAGCAGTGGTTTTGTCCTTGAATGTTGCTGTGTATTAGAATTACCTAGCGAGGTTTGAGTCCTGATACCTGGCTACTTCGCAGACAAATTACAGTAAAACATGGTATCTGAGAGCAGGACCCAGACAGCTGTAGCTTTTAAACTCCTTAAGTGACTCCAATGTGCAGCCAAGTTTGAAATGGCTGCTATAAATCAATAACTCTGAAATGTTAGCTTGCCTTAAAATTTCCCAGTGGGCTTGTTAAACAGTTTGCTGGGCTCCAGCCCCAGAGTTTCTGATTCAGTGGGTGTGTGGGGCAGCTGGGAATTTGCATTTCTAATAAGTTCCCATGTGATGTTGATGTGCTGGTCTGGGGGAATACTTTGAGTACCACTGCTTTAAATTAAAGCAATGAGAAGGAGTGGCTGTGGGAGAATAGTGGTTCTTCCTTTCTTCACCAAGTTGGTTCACTCTGCTTCATGAAGAACAAGAGTGGAAAGGGTCAGGCTGGAGATGTTACTGCAATAGTTACTGTGTGCCTTTAAGACATTCTTGGAATGATATACAATGCATCTTTAGAATGCCCTTGCCCTATTTGGGAAAACACAGTACTTTTCAGAGTCTCTCTCTTTCTCTCTCTCTCTCTCTTTTTCCCCTCTCTTTTCCCCCCTCTTTTTCTCTTCTTAGAAAAGGCTTGAGAAGGGGACTTTGTTAAAATTACAAAGGGCATCTAAGGGAATCAGTTGAATTCAAAACACTTTTAATTTTAGAGAAAATTTGACATGTGAAAAAGTTTTTGTAAAAATCAATCTTAAATTATGTAGGTATTTCTGATGAAATGTTTTTCTTTTAGCTCTATAGGGAAAACTTGTAGCTAACAGCAGAAAGACTCATTCCACATGAAATAGCAGTAAGTTCAAAAGAAATAGTAAATACAACACAGATAATTAAACATATTTTAACTGTCTGTGTTGATATCAGCAAAGAGAACCATGCCCATACCTTAATTACCTTAAGCATTTATGAAGCAGTCTTATACCACCCCAGATGGCTTTCTTCTTCAGCCCACTTCTTATGTGATATAAAATCAGATATTTATATTACATTCTAAATACCCTTTCAGACACTTCACATTCAATTGAGGGAACACTCTTCCTGCTAGTCATGACTATTTAACATCTTCTATTTATGTACGCCATTTAATGAGTGAAAATTTCCCAGTGGCTGTGGAATCCTAGAAAGTAAATCAGAACAGAGGACACATTTACTAGCAGATAATTATAGGCTCTGGAGAATTTATAACAACACTGATAATTTAGGAAGGAAGTGATGAAGTCAATTAGGCAGATTCTATAGACGT